GGGAGGCCCCCCGGGGGCCCCCGTTTCAGCCGCTACTGAAACTGACCAGCGGCTGACTCCAAGAAGCCCAAGGCAGAGGTGCTCTGCCCCCAGCTTCCTGGAATCAGCCACTGATCAGTTTCAGCAGCAGCTGACTTGGGGACACCAGGGGTAGAGCACTTGGGGTGCTGCCGGGTTGGTCCCGGCAGCGGTGGGGTGCTGCGCTGCGGGGACCTACCCGGCAGCGCCCCAGCTGCTCTGTCCCAGGCGTCCAGATTCAGCTGCTATTGAAACTGATCAGCAGCTGATTCCAGGATGCCCGGGGCAGAGAAACTCTGCCTCGGGCTTCCTGTAGTCAGCCACTGGTCAGTTTCAGCAGCGGCTGAATCTGGATGCCAGTTCCGACTTAAGTATAAATTCAACTTAAGTACAAACCTACAGTCCCTATCTTGTACGTAACCCGGGGACTGCCTGTATTTCAAATGGCATATTTAGTCCATTTGGAGGATGCCTTTATTCCATCCCTGAAGATTAGTTTATGGCTTGCGTGAATCTCATTTGGGACAGGCCTTAAGACAGGTGAGATCAGCCCAGTTGGAATCATCACTGAGGGTGCGTCTACACAGCTGACACTAGTTCGAAATAACAATGCGACCGGCTACACAGCAATTCCATTATTTAGAAATAAATTCGAAATCACGGATGGCTTATTCCAACTTCTGTAAACCTCATTCCACAAGGAATGATGCCTCTTCCGAAATAGCTATTTCAAAATAGTGGTGGCATGGACGCTCCACTGCTGCTATTTCGAAATAGCTGCACCCCAGGACCATTCAAACTAATTACTCCCCAATGCCTCCTGAAGCTCTAAATCAAGGTATCAGGTCCACATTAGGGAAGCCTGCCTCGGATTAATTTTGAAGCTTCCCTGTAGTGTAGACATGCTATTTTGAAATAAGCTATTTCTGAGTATTTCTTCTGGAATAGCTTATTTTGAAATAAGTGTGCCATGTAGACGGACCCTGAATCAGCTGGGGATAGAGAGGTTGCTTCCAGAACCCAGAATCACAATTGTCTCGCTGTTGATTTGTTTCATGACATTTGCTTATTAGGTTCCGTTGAAAAAACAGGGATATAAAGCAAAACTTTTCAGGTTTGGCACCTGCCTAGCTGACCTGATTTGCAAATTTGTGAAGTATCCAGCCGCAGTCATGGAAACCACGACACCTGGAGAGGGCTCTGCCCTTCATGTGCCTAAATATGGGTGCTGGGCTTACTTTTACACACTCCTTTTTTAAAATGTTGCCTGAAGTAGCTACATTTTTCCCGTAGGGAGTTTTCTCCTTCCTCTTCCCCCTAACCAGATCACACTCTTTTTAATCACCATCCTTTTTGTTACTTCCATCTGTTTACGCTGTCAGATTAACCAGACAAAATTCCTTTTTAGTACAAAAGTGGGATCGTCACTGAAATACTCTGTCCAATTCTAGAGGCCAAACTTCAAAAAGGAAGCTGACTAGAAAGGGCTCAGGATAGAGCTACAAGTATGAGTCAAGGTCTGGGAAACTGAGAGATTTAAGAAATAGAGATATGGGCTTGATGCAGTTTACTGGGTAAGGTTCTTTGGATTGCCTTATGCGGGAGATTAGACTAAATGATCGCAACGCACTGGTTTGTCCGTAACTTCTGTGCATCTGTGCTTCCAGAGCTGCCTCCAACACATAGATGTGGTTGTACTGAGCAGTTTTACAGAGAGATTTGGATGACTAGTTCCGTTTTTGTGAAGCTTGAATTTATGCTGCAATTAGCTCTCTGAAATTATCCGGAGTTGCTGCAGGCAAAGACCCACTGAAGCAGTTGGGCTAATAAATCAGCCATAAAAATCACTTCCCTATTAGATCTTCAAAGGCCTGTGGAAAGAAAAGAAAACAAACAGCATAAATCTTCATCAGGACAGGTCACAACCGAATACGAGGTGCCCTCCTTCTGTAAGGCAACCGGGAAGAGAAAAAAAAATTATCCTAATCAGCAGTGGTGGGAATAATTTATGAAGATATTTTTAGTTTTATGGCTTATATTGGTTCCCTTGCCACACAAGTATCACTGCGGGCTAGGTTCAGCTCTGTCTAACTTTAGCGGAGATACTACAGACGAAGGCTGTCATCTGAAGAAGTGGGTTGTGCCCATGAAAGCTCATGGTACCATCTATGTGTTTTATTAGTCTCGAAGGTGTTGCTAGGCTAGTTGTTGGTTTTTAAGTTTTTCCAGTTATAGACTAACTCGGCTACCCCTCGGAAGCTGTTGTAAACAGTTGCTCTGGGTTTACCTCAGGAAACCAGAGACCAGAATTTTGTCCAATATGCATGTCACTCACATTGGCTTCCATAGGGATTGCTGATGCACATGTGCTGAATGTAATCATAACCCTTACATAGATAGCATTTTTAGCAGCAGCGCAAAGCCCTTCACAAAAGTAGATAAGAATTGTTCTCCCTATTTTGTGGAGAGGGAATCATAGAATCATAGAACACTAGAACTGGGAGGGACCTTGAGAGGTCATCGAGTCCAGTCCCCTGCCCCTATGGCAGGACCAAGCACCGTCTAGACCATCTCTGACAGATGTCTATCCAACTGCTCTTAAATATCTCCAGAGATGGAGATTCCACAACCGCCTTAGGCAATTTATTCCAGTGTTTAACCACCCTGACAGTTAGGAAGTTTTTCCTAATGTCCAACCTAAACCTCCTTTGCTTCAGTTTAAGCCCATTGCTTCTTGTCCCATCATCAGAGGCCAAAGAGAACAGCTTTTCTCCCTCTTCCTTGTGACATCCTTTTAGATACTTGAAAACCGCTCTCATGTCCCCCCTCAGTCGTCTCCTTTCCAAACTAAACAAGTCCAATTCTTTCAGCCTTCCCTCATACCTCATGTTCTCTAGTCCAGACCTTTAATCATTCTTGTTGCTCTTCTCTGGACCTTCTCCGGTTTCTCCATATCTTTCTTGAAATGTGGTGCCCAGAACTGGATACAACACGCCAGTTGAGGCCTTATCAGCACAGAGTAGAGTGGAAGAATGACTTCTTCTGTCTTGCTCACAACACTCCTGTTAATGCATCTCAGAATCATGTTTGCTTTTTTTGCAACAGTGTCACACTGTTGACTCATATTTAGCTTGTGGTCCACTATGACCCCAGCGCCCTTTCAGCAGCCCTCCTTCCTAGACAGTCGCTTCCCATTCTGTATGGGTGAAACTAATTGTTGCTTCCTAAGTGGAGTACTTTCCATTTGTCCTAAGTAAACTTCATCCTGTTTAACTCAGACTTATTAAACTTCATCCTGTTTAGCTCATGTTCTCTAGTCCAGACCGTTAATCATTCTTGTTGTTCTTCACTGGACCCTCTCCAATTTCTCCATATCTTTCTTGAAATGTGGTGCCCAGAACTGGACACAACACGCCAACTGAGGCCTTATCAGTGCAAAGTTTGTCCAGTTTGTCCAGATCATTTTGAATTATGATCCTATCCTCTGAAACACTTGCAACCCCTCCCAGCTTGGTATCATCAGCAAACTTAATGGCTACGTCTAGACTGGCATGATTTTCTGCAAATGCTTTTAACGGAAAAGTTTTCCATTAAAAGCATTTGTGGAAAAGAGCGTCTAGATTGGCATGGACGCTTTTCCGCAAATCACTTTTTGGGGAAAAGCAACCGTGCCAATCTAGACGCGCTTTTCCGCAAAAAAGCCCCGATCGCCATTTTCGCAATCGGGGCTTTTTTGCGCAAATCAAATCTCAGCTGTCTACCCTGGCCCTTTTGAGCAAAAGCTTTGCGCAAAAGGACTTTTGCCCGAACGGGAGTAGCATAGTATTTCTGCAAGAAGCACTGATTTCAGACAGTAGGAAGTCAGTGTTCTTGCGGAAATTCAAGCAGCCAGTGTAGACAGCTGGCAGGTTTTTGCGGAAAAACTTGCCAGTCTAGACACAGCCAATAAGTGTACGCTCTATGCCATCATCTAAATTGTTGATGAAGATATTGAACAGAACTAGTCTCAGAACAGACTCCTGTGGATCCCCACTTGCTATGCCCTTCCAGCATGATTGTGAACCGTTAATAACAATTCTCTGAGAAAGGTTATCCAGCCAGTTATGCACCCACCTTATAGTAGACCCATCTAAGTTTTATTTGCCTAGTTTACTGATAAGAAGATCAAGCGAGACCATATCAAATGCTTTACTAAAGTCTAGGTATATCATGTCTACCGCTTCTCCCTTATCCACAAGATTTGTTATCCTGGCAAAGGAAGCTATCAGATTGCATTGACCTTTACAAATCCATGGAAGAGGAGGCACAGATAGTTGTAGAGCGGTGGTGGGCAACCTGCAGCCCGCAGACCACACGCAGCCCATCGGGACATTTTTTGTGGCTCATGGGACATTTTTTTTGGACTGTTGTCCACATGCAGAGTTGCCAGATTCCATTGGTTTCCATCCAGGAAGGTTTTTTCCTACCAGTGTTACTAAACGAGCAGGCACATAAAGCAAGGGCACGTGAAGTGAGGTGCGTGCTGATGGCACACAACAGTGATTGTGAGAGCCGTGCACTCCCTCTGCATCCAATCAAAGCGCTGCTGCGGTTCAGTGGGCACACCCTGCAAATTCCAGGCACGCAAGCACAGTTAGGAAAACTGCCCTACCCCAGGAGATCATCCCCTTTATGGCAATCTGGAGGCCCACTGAGATGAAGAAGGGCCACTCGTGTGGCCCACTCACTAGCCTAGGTTGCCCATTGTCTCTATAGAGTCATTGGCAGAATAACACCCAAGTGGAGAAGGGGCTAAGGAAGCTGCATTTTTGCATCCTCCCAAGCCTGGGCTGCCCCAGACCTAGAAAGGCCCTGGGTATAACTCAGATAGCTCCAGGGGCCTGTTTAAATTCCTGCGGACTCCCCTGGCTGCTCCTATGGGCCTCGTGCAGGCCAGAGTCTCTGCTTCTTGTGACAACCTCGAATCTCTTTGCTGCCCTCAGCCTCCTTTACAATTAGGTCCTGGGAAGGCAGCCTTGCAACTGTCAATTGATGTCCATGCACTAGAGGGAATTTGTCCCTCATTTGGATACTGGACACTCTCCCCCAGCTGATACTTTGTGCTGTTCTTGCCCTTTTGTGAAGTAGAAAGGAAACAGAGTCAGGGGTCCTGCCCCAAGTTTTCTGACTCCGAGTCCTGGGCCCTTTCCACTGGCCTAAGTTTGGACTCCAGTCTGCTTTCATGCCAGGTGTGAAAAGCATCAAGAGTTGCATGAAAAACAGTTATCTAGACCCTCTTGCTAATGAAGGAAAATAAAAAAGACTAAGAAGAAGATTTGAGAGTATACTTAATACATATGCACAAAAGTAGGCACCGGACAGCAGGCATCCTTACATAAATTTTACAGTGAATGGTGCTCACAGAAGTTCCTGTATCTTGGGTCGAGGCATGTGTTATTCATATGCCTACTTACTTCTGGGAAAGTAAGGAGCTGGACGAAAATGAATTCACTGGAAGACAAAGGAAGACATACGTGTTACTCCTCAGCCCACACGGTAACCAAAAGGCTGCTTTTTAGAGCAAAACTGTGGAATAATAGTGCAGAGAGTTTAGCTTTGCTTGAGTTAAAGCTGCAGTGCTGGGCCTTAATTAAAATGCAGGAATATCAGCTTGACACCTCCTCTAGCCAGACTGTACAGCGCACCACTACCCGCCCTTTAAAAAAAAAAGCTGAGATTTCTTTCATGAAAATGAAACAAGTCAAACCTACCCTAACCTCTCCCCTTCATCCCACCTTGGTTTTGGTAAAGACCTACACTTCTTAATGTGTACATCTTCACTGCTCCCCCACCAGTTTTTTGCGTGCACAAGTACTCACCCATATGCAAATTTCCTCTCATTATCTTCATAGCAAATTTCCTCTCATTATAGTTACCAGTGTTGACATGTAAAGTATAACAGCTGGCATTTGAAGTAGTACCTGTTAAATCTGGTGTTTCAGAGCAATTGCTTTAGGCTCTCTGCAAACTCCAGCAGCTATTGTTGTATCTGTTCTTTTGACTTTGTATTTTGAAGGTTTCCTTTGCAATCATAACACCTACTGACATTTTTCCATAAAAGATGCTGTCAAGGCCTTTTCCACATCCTAGCACGAAGAATGCAGAAGTGAGGGCCCGCAAAAGTACCCCAAAACCTTATCTCCAGGTTTTGGTATAAAGCTTCCCTCCCCCCCATCTTAAAAACCTAGATTTTGGGGATAAAAATACGCTGTCACCACCCAAGTAATGATAAGAAAACCAGGAAAGAGATCACTTGGGAAATCTCAGCCCTAAAGTAAAACCAATACTCACAAAAAATTAACTGATACCAGGTTAATAAAAAAGAAAGAGAAAGACCTTTTATTATCACCACAATACCCCTGTTACAAGCATAATGACTAGAAAGAAAAGTCACCAATTAATAAACTCATGGGACATTCCACCATGGGCCAAAACTTAGTTACAAAGGAGCGAAAAACCCATTTTTAAATGCACAGACATCAGATTCCCATTCCCAAACCATAAAACAATAAAACCTAACAGATTTATCTAAACTTTACCCTACTTACAGATAGTGAAGAGTCTTTTCTTCGAGAGAGAGAGACATGTCTGTCTCCCTCCATTTCTGGAGAGAAACTGCCCAGGGACAAAGGAGGGAAAAATTTCTTTGTCCCGGTTTGAAATTCCTACCTACATTTCTGTTGGCTGCCTACTACCCATTTCTGGAGAGAAACTGCCCAGGGACAAAGGAGGGAAAAATTTCTTTGTCCCGGTTTGAAATTCCTACCTACATTTCTGTTGGCTGCCTACTACCTGGTTAGGTAAGAGACATGGTTAACTCCTTAGTCCCCAA